TGTGGCAGGATGCTTGGCAATGTGGCAGACGTATTGGCAGTTAGGGGTGACTGGGGAAAGAAAGAACAATGTAACTTCTTATTTAAAAATCTCCCTCTGCAGAAATGGCAGATTAAAGGGGGAGATCCTTCCTCATCCTCTTGCTTACAAGCCATGTTTGGATCTCTGCTGTTTTAAAGAGTGAGTAAAAGTTCCAATTGTACAGGTGTTTATACTAGAGAATAATACAGAATGTTAACATGCTGTAATTGAATGCTACATTTGAAGAAAATGTAGCCATATTTTACATTTGGTACCATGGTGCAATATTGTTTTAGTCTGCAGCATATTTTTGGGTAGCAGTAATATTTGTCTGTACTTCATAATAGGAAAACAGGAATTTTTTTTGTTCGAATCCTTTTGGGGGAAAAAGAAACTAGAACGCTATATGAAAATACAAAGCAGATTATTTTCACTGAAATGTACTTTAGTTACAGTTGACTCCCCCCCCCCCCCCCCCCCCAGTGTTACATGAAAAAGCAGCAAGGTTTCACTGAGTTTCAAAACAAAAGATGATTGTAAGATGTTAGATTTTTGCTTTGTCAGGGTTTCAACCAAACATCTAAGAACTGAGTTTCATAAAATTCCTCTGGAACACCTGTTTTAAAAATACACATTTTTTGTTTTTTTAAAAGGGGTCTCGCAATTATAAAAACCCATCCCCTGAAATATAGGGCTTTGGCTGCTAAATTACTTTAATACCCCTTTTTTAAGAAATATTTTTAAACCATGATTGATCTAGGACTGATTACTGTAAATCAGATAACCTCTTGTGAAATCAGGTCACTTTAACCAACAGGTTTTATTGGGTTAGTGTGTGTTTAGGGAGGATTGTTCAAATGTTTTGTGTTTGTTTAACCATAATCAGAAGTTTGAGTAGCTGTGGCTTTTGCTCAGACATTGGTTGTGCCTCTGCTGTTCTGTTAAGGCTACATGAAAAGTCAGAGAAGAGAAAGCAGGTGGCGGGGAAAGAGGGAGCTATAAAAAACCTGTACTGGTATTATAGTTACTGGTGTTTGTAATTCAAGTTGAGCAAAGCTAATCTGTTTACTCATGGCTATAGTTTTCAAAATTGTTAGCTGTAGGTATTGCTCTCGGCAGTATAATGTCTGTGTCTTTTCCCCTATAAAGCATAATTAGCAAGAAAAAAAAAGAAATAAATATTGCCAGTACAGACTTTGAAGTTTGTACTTACTGTGTTTGCCACCTCTTTCAGTTCAGTAATGCAAGTCTGCTAGCTGCCTTCAACTTGAATGATTTGTTGCAAAAGCTAGTCTCAGTTCCTGTATTTTTTTTCCCCCTGTGATTTCCCTGTCCAGAAAGACATCTAAACATAAAAAAACATTGTCTAGAAACTAGTTAGGAAGATGAGAAGATAGAATCTTAGATCTTGTCTCAGATTTCCTTAGGTATTTGCTGTATGCACTTCGGGCTGTAAGGTAATGTGTGGCTGTGAGATTGACTGCTTAAAGGGAGCTGAAATCTTCACACACACACACACAAAAAAAAAGAGTATTACTTATCCCTAACAGAAATTTAAAGAGACTTCATGATTATTGCCATTCTTCCTAGTCATTGATCATATTGCTGTGGCAATCTCATGTTGTAGGAATGCATTAATTTTTTTTTGGAATGACATTATTAATGAAGAAAGTCAGGCGGGAGAACTTTGGAGGACAAATGAGATTTATTTAATCTGGTATATGATTTTTCCTACATCTGTGTTTTTTATTTACCAGCTAAGTGTGTGGTGTTGATCAAGATAGGATAGAGAATCTGTATCTGATCTTAAGGGTCCCATAGATTCCTCTGCTTTATAGTCTTGAGCTGTTCTGTTTAAAGATCTAATAGTAGTCCACCCAAGCAGATACAGTTCTGTGAAGTATTAAAATAGACTGTTAACTGTGGCTAGGCAATAATGTACTTTTGGTTTTTGTATATGCACATTGAGTAACATAGAGTAATCTGTGAAGCTACAGTAATTAAGGGGGGGGGGGGGGGAACACAACACCAACCAAAATAACCAAAATTGAAGCCCAACCCATGAAAGTAAGTCTGATAAAATTTTGAATCCATGCTGCTGTTTGACTTTGTTTCCTACTCCATCCAAAGGGGAAACTCCTACTCCCCCATTTGAATAGTTCTGCAGGGCTTGTGTTGAAATAAAAAGCCTCTTGGTGACAAGCCTGCCCAGTCCGGCATGACCACTAAACAGTAGATAATTATGGCCACTGCAGTGCTTCTGCATCACCCTTTCCATATCACCCATGTTTTTATCTAGTTCATTCTTGGGCCTGAATCCCAGCCTCCTGCTGCTACATATATTGGACTGTTGCATGGCAAGGCCCATGCCAAGGGCGACCTTGGCAGCCAGTGTCCAAACTCAACAAAACACATCCTTATTCAGTGCACTTACAAGCTAAGTGGTTTTGGAGTGGTAATCTTGCCAGATTTGAAATTAAGAAAGCAAGGGTGAAAGAACAGAGCCACTTTTTGAGAGTCCATATCCAGCTTTGAGGTCTGCTTTAAACTTCATACAAGCTTTTGAGCAGGTGACTGTCATCAGTTTCACTTCTGTAAAAGTAGGTAGCTGTGCTTTTATTCCCATGTAGGAGAGAAGGTTGGTTCAGTTGATGTCTGAGATACTTGGATTGCAGTGATAACTTGCATATATGCTGTGCAAAGGTGATTTGAATGATCCAGTCCTTTTGAGTAAGATACATGATTTAATACTTGAATAGTATCTGAGTTTCAGAAGATAAACCTAATGCATTCATTAACTCTGGTTCTCTTTTCTAAAATCTTAAGCTGTTGATGTTCATTGCAAGTGACAAGCATTTCTGGTTCTTCAACAGCTCAACTAAATTAAATGTATATAATGTAAAAATAACTTTAAAAGTTTTGTTGTTCCAGTACTATGTGGCGTATGCAGTTCTTGGAAGTAAAATTTTGGTTTAGTAGAGCTTTTGTAGTGGTCTTCTGGTGTGACATATAATCTCTCCTTGGACTAATCTTTCAGTGAACAAAGCAGGTCCTAAGAACATTGTGTTAATGCTTGGTTTAGCTTAAAAACATTTTCTAGTCTCCAAATTAAGTACTTGTTCAAAGATTTTATGTTTAGTTTGTCAGAATTGCCAAACGTGTTGTAGAAATTTTGCCACGCGGCGAAGCTGTGCTGCTGATGCTGAAAATGTCAGCAGGATGGAAGAAGAAGTGATAGGAGAAAATGAAAACAGCTCTTCAAGTTTGGGTTTTTTTTAATTTAAAAAAAGAAAAACCAAACCCAAACAACTGTCTTTTGCCCCCTAAGGCTAACCAGGGAGTAACTTCAGTTACTTCTCTGCTAAAATGTTGACTCTGAACATCCCATTAAGTTTCTTAGAAATATTTCCTATAAAATGGAAATGGGCATGAATGCTCACTTCAGAGCACGTTAGAGTTTGATATTATGACTAACTTGGGTTTTCATGGCTTTACCTCTTGCCTGTTTTGGAACATAGCTTAAATGGGATGCTTTCATTAGATTATTGATAGAGTCTAAGATTATAACTGGCTCCATAAAAGCACAGTAAAAACTATTTCAATGTTTTTTCACTCCAGAAGAGATTTGACTTTCTTCACTACTAATACTTATCTACATCTTTGAAGTGTGATTATTTTGTATAATTTAGAAACTGTCTTGAAGCAGAAGTCCATCGAAATTTATTTACTGTGTGCTTCTGGTTTTGGTAAACAAGTATCTCCATACTTTCTCAGTTGTAAGTGCTTGCTAGGGTATTTAAGTACAGGGTACGCCATATATAATACTTTTCTGGTGCAGTCTAATGCTGTTTTGTGGACTAAAATAAACCATCTTTATATTAAGCAGAAATTATACTCATTGTAGCATTTCTGGACATTTGATAGCAAAATTAATAAGTGGGAAGTACTGTGACACAGTAGTTTGTCATAAACCTTAGACCACATGTTACCTCAGACTGGTAATTTTGCATAGTCAAATGGGAAGGAACGAAATTGTGTTTGTATGTAAGTAAGGATGGTGGGGCAAGGTTGTGTGTTCATGGTATAATGCATGACGTATTTGACAATGTACCTTACAGTTAAAGGTTTGTGTAACTTAGATGCCTACTGACTTGTATTTTAATGTGTGTGTTCATTTCTACTGTACATGTATGAGCTAAGTTTAGAAACTAAAACTGCCCCTAATTCCACTTAAGGTTAAATATGCTACATCTAGGAAACAAAAATGTCTTTCAGGAATGAAGACATTAACTATGACATTAAGGGGGAGGCATTCTTGTGCATTTAATTCAGTAACTGCAAAATGAAAGCCTGTTTTACCAGAATTGCCCAGAGAATAGCTTCTCATCAAGGTCTTTTTTTCATTACCAGTTAAATTTTTAAGCTCCTGTTTTAGCTTTACGCCTCTCAAAAAAGCTATCAGGTTTTATTATTAAATTACCAGTTTTATTTTTATTTGACAAGCCTTGTTAAACAAATTAGATGGTTTAGAGGGGAAAAAATGCTTGGAGGCAGGCACCAGGGCATTTTAGATAATTAATTTTCTGAAGTCTGTAAGCATCTGATAACAGAGGCAAAATGTGTCAGCTTGGCTTGCGCAAAGCAGTTATTCTAGTTGTTTAGAGCTGTGCATGTCACTGTGAGGCCTCAGTTGTGTATAAAGGGCATTTGTTTCTCTGGATGTTGATTTAGCGTAGTATCTTCCTAGTCGATACTGGATGTGAAATGAGCATTTTGGCTACATTTAAAAATATTTTCTATGTTAATTGGTCCTTGTGGTTAAAAATAATGGCAAGACTGTTTATGGTGATTTTATGACTTAATATTTTGGAAAGTAAGTGTTGCAATAATGAAAGCTTATGCCTTTTAATTGGTAATACAAATAATCAAAGGCTTGGTAATATATATTGCTTTTATATTTCCTGTTTTCTTCTGTTTAGGTAAAAAACTTTGCTGTTATTTATCTTGTGGATATCACTGAAGTACCAGACTTCAACAAGATGTACGAGTTGTACGATCCCTGTACCGTCATGTTTTTCTTCAGGTACACGATGGTTCCAGAACGTAACTCAGTTAAATTTTTTGTGTGTCAAATACAGTGTGTCAGTAGATCATTTCTAAACTCATATCAGCATACCGATGCTTGTATTTTCATTGGTCTACAAAAGAGTAAACTGATTAAGTAGGAAAATGGCTTGTTTTCCAATTAGCCTAGTAACAGTGTTTTGATAATAGAATAAAAATCAGTGATAGTGAAAACTGTTTTTATTATCCGTTGTTTTTAGTTTTAAATCTGAAGCTCCCTGTATAGAATACTGCAGTAATACAGCAGTCAAGCTTGTCAAACTTGCTTTAAAGAAATACCCAAAGTATTAAGGTTTTTTGGAGCTAAGGTGTTTACATTGAGATAAAATGTGCTACTGACAAGTGTGAAACTCCCTCTGGTGTTAGACAGTAGTGGGAAAGAAATACAAACAATGAGGAATATGCTGAAGGATAATTGTACTGAGTAGCAATCTTGGGGGCATGTTTGCAGTCTTTGTTCTAGCTTTAGAAATAGGCAGTAAAATGTCAACTTGAGTGACAGGAGTGGATACTCTTTCTTTGAGCCTTATTTTGCAAGCCTGTTGATGTTATAAGGGCTTCTTTTGAATCCTGCAATGCATTCTTGTGGGGGATATAAAGTTTCTTTCTGAATTATAATACCATATTAACTTGTCTGGTGTTTTTTTTCTCTCCTTTTAAAGGAACAAACACATCATGATTGATTTAGGTACAGGTAATAACAACAAGATCAACTGGGCAATGGAAGATAAGCAAGAGATGATTGACATTACCGAAACTGTTTATAGAGGAGCCCGCAAAGGTCGAGGTTTGGTGGTATCGCCAAAAGATTATTCCACTAAATACAGATACTGACATGTCTTTGGGGCTGCCTTTTTTTTAACCCTACGTCCACTTAAATTTATTCTTGTGTATGTGTGTACATATATATATATTAAATGGAAAAAAACCCCTACAAATCCTTCAACTTTGAGCATATTTTGAATTATTTAAAAGCTTTGAATTCTGTTTGGAGAAGTAAAAGACACAAAGCCTGGAACTGTCGCACTGCAGTAATACTGTAGATGAATTTTGGATTTTTTTTTTAGTTTTTATTTTTTAAATACTTTGTGTTGTCTTTGGGGTATGATGTATTTTGTACACAAAAAGCCTGTTTGCAGAAAAACATTTCAACTGTTTTTGTTTGCTTTTGTTACACAAATATGTGGGAAAACTATACTATAGCTTTTAAAAAAGAATAAAATGAATTTAATTTTCTTTAGCTAATTAAATTTGAGAATGAAAACAAATGTAACTGGATGTATAACATCGAAGATGAAGGCTTATCACTTCTCTCAGGATTTCCTTGCATATTATCTTGGTCTTCTTCCACTAAACATAGGAAGAAAACACTAAAGCATGTTTATGAATATTTAGCAGAACACAGAGAAAATATCTTCCATGACTTCCCTCCCCCCCAGCTTAATTGACTTGTGGTGATGGACTTCTTTTTCATGGTGATTATGCATACAGTAGTCAGTTTTAAGTACTTAATAGGTTCTGCAGTGCCAAAGGGTAATTGCCTTCTGCTGCATATTCAGCAGCTGAAGAAAGGATGAGGTGTGCTTTCTCTCATTTGACCTCCAATTTGTCTAATGGTGTACTGAAATGCATATATACTCATGAGACTTGGATTGGATTCCAGTGTGGTATGGCTTTTGAAGTTCTCATTTGCATTTCTGGCAACTTTTGTTTTGCAGTAATGGAGCCAGTGTTGTGTGGGTGTTTTAGTTTTGGTTCGGTTTTTTTTGTTAAACTGGAGGATTAATTAAAAACAAGCCAGACTATGCAGAAAGGAGATAACTGTACTTTTGGTCCAGTTTGTCACAAGACAAAGTGGAATATGCTTTTTCACCATCTGGTGTGTCTTAGAGGATTTAGAATTAGTCAAGAAAGTAAAATTAAATTAATGTTTTACAGTGGTTATTAATTACAGCGGTTATTAATTACAGTATCATTTATGTTGGAAGGGACTACTGGACGTCTACTCCAACCTCCCAAAGTAGGTCCCACTTGATCAGGTTGCCCAGGACTGTCCAGTGTTGAGTATCTCTAAGGATGGAGATGCCTCAGCCTTTCTGGAAAGCCTATTCTGCTGCTTCAGCACCCTCATAGTTACAAAAAAAAAAAAAAAAAAAAAAGGGTTCATGGTGGGATAGTTAAAGAGGGCCAGAAAATCTTGCATCTAGCTGGAATTTCTTGTGTTTCCTGTGTTCCACCTTGTGTTTATTAACTCTCGTGTAAAACACCGCCAACAAGGAGCCAGCAAGCAAGCCATAGTCTTTTCTTAAGGCTGAAGTAACAGAATTCTCTCAAACCCTCATATGCTTTGTACTCTGCCCTATCTCGGTGGCTCTCTGCTTAACTGCCTCATAACAATGTATTTCTGCCCCCAAACTGACACAGTATTTTGGGTGTGGTCTGACAGGAGTCGAATAGAGGGGGATGACCCGCTGGCTCTACTTGTGCTAATACTGACCAGTACGTGGCTGCAGCCTTTGTTGCCAGGGTGCCCTGCTGACTCGCTTCCAACTTGGCCACCAGACCCCACTCCGCTCCCGCAAAGCTGCACGCCAGCCAGCCCCTCACAACTGTACTGCAGCGTAAGCTTACGCTGTCCCAGAGGTGAGGCCTGGCACTTGCCTTTGAACTTCATGAGGTTCCTGTTGGCCCATTTCTCCAGCCTGTCCTCCAGCATAGGAACCTCTCCCCCTAAGTCTGACATTGCTTGCAAATCCATACCAATTAAAGCATTGATTAGAATGATTTCTTGATATTAATGAAGAATCTATAAGAGATGGTAAGTATTAACACCTGCCAAAGTTTTAAAAAGCATATTTATCCTTCCTTAGCTGAGGTATTCTATTTACCTTACAATGCTTCCATTTCTGCATTTGTTTTAAGAGGTTACCAGTAAGTTTCAAACAAAATCTTTCCTGCCACAAGGGCCAATGTTTTGGTGTACAAGAACATTAAAGTTAGCGCAGATGTCCTGTTTTCTTTGACTCTGCCATGTCTTGTTCAGCACGTTTCGTAACTAGAATTCCTATCTATCTCAAAGTCTTGAGGCTCTTTCATCAAAATGGCTAATGTTAAAGAACTGAAATTGGCACAGTGTGCGCACCTGGATGATGTTACCTGCACAGGTGTGCACAGCTTTGGGTGGGCTTGTGGAAAGAGTAACAACTGAACAGCTGTAATCTCTGCAAATACTGCCATTTCTTTTAGTGCAGAACAGTTTATGTTCATTGGACCTATGAAGTTTTGCAAATGCACCTTTGTAATAACATCAAATAAGATAAGGTGCATTTTGTAATGTAAAACATTTAAAGGAGCATCAAAATGGCACACGCAAATGGGAAAGTTTTCATAGAAGGATCCTGTTATTCTGAGGACATGTAAATTAAAAAGGCAACAAAGAAATACAATGAAAATTTTAACATTATTAAAATAAGTGAAATACATTTTCATACAATGAAAAAGTTTGTGACTGGATAAGTTCACTATATAGGGTGCAGTTTTGTATCCAAAATAGTGGTTTTGACTCCCGTGAAACTGATAGTTCTTTCCCAATTACAGAAGTAGTGTCCCATTTAGATGAATAAACCCAGCTTTCTACTTTTTTTCCTGGGGCGGTAGTTTCAAAAAAAATTGAGAGTCTATTGTGATGTGATACAAGCAAGTTTGGTTTTGCTGATGCTTTTTGTGACTAGTGACGCTGACTGTAGATTCCCAGATTCAGTGCGGTGCTGTTCTCCGTTTTTCTTGATCACATCCCCATTTCAGTGCTGCAAAGAAACAGTGAATAAGTAGGTTAGTGGTTTAATTATTCATGAATGTGATTCAGCATAAAAATAGATCGCTGTACAGTTAAATACATCTTCATGATTGTCTTTCTATATTTCTGAAAATTATTACATAGCTTATCATGAAAAAGGCATCGGAACAAATAGATGCCTAAATTATGTCTATGTATTTACAGACGTTCCTGTCTTTCACTGTGTAAGCAGTCTGTAAGTGACAAAAATAATTGATGTGTCTTGGTTTGAATCGGGAAAGCGTGTAACAACAGGAAGACGGCATCACCCGCACCCACAGAACACGGAAGTAATGCTGCCTCATAAATACTAAGAACACTGACTAAGGTATCCATTGGGGCAGGGGGGTGGCATTTGCAACAGACAGCAGTACAAAATCTTGCATGCAATCCTGACATGTAGCATGATTTTATATTACAGATTTTATATTAGTGTTTGACAATAATACTGAAGTTATCCTTGCTCTTTCCATCTGCCATCCTACTGCTGCAAGAACAAACAACTGCTGTCTTTGGGGTGAGCAAAGGTATTTAAGATGTGTGCTCCGAGCCACGATGGGAAGCTGAAGCAGGTTTAAAAGCAGATGCATGTAAATTTATACCAGCGAGAATCCTCAGTCAGCTAGGTTAGCATACTTGAGGGACAGGAACAGTGGGCAGGAGTGCTTTAAGCCATACATTTTTTACTACAAATGTACAGCCTCAAGTTTACATATTTGGGATCAGTTTGCACTACCTCTTGTATGTGGTGCTCGGCTGGAACAGATGCATTGAGCTACCGTTTTTCTTTTGAAGAAGCGGTAGCATTCTTTGGCTCTTGGCAAAAAGAAATCCAAAGTAATTTTAAATATTTTAAAAAAAGAATCTCATTATTCTTCAAAATCCAAGGAAATGCAGGTATGATAATACACACAGTATTTTCATACTAGGTGCTGCCCATAGTTCAAAACTAAATGGAAATACATAAAATACAGTAAAAATGAAGGTTTCTTTACTCTCAACTCTTCATCAGTGTTTTCTATCCCAGCCTCTGTCATCAGGTCAGCAACGTGCTTCTCAAGGTCATCAATGCGCTCACCCATTTCTTCCAGTAAAAAGTTAAAGATAACTTATTTATAAATAAGAATAAAGTAATTTAGTAGTTTTTTCCTGTGAGAATAACAAGAACCTTTCTTCCAGATCTCAGCCTCTTACTCATGTTTAATGCAAGATGAAACATGCAGAAAGTTGTATTGTTACAAGACAATCCCACTTTCTCTTGCAGCAGAGAAGCACTTAAGTTCTAAATATTTTCAAATACCTCCCTGCATGCCCATGAGTAAACTGGAGTATCTTCCATGTAGGAGATTGCTTTCTTTCTGAGGAACTATTTTAGGTGATACTATACAATCAACTTACACAATCAGAATATGACTGCCGCTAAAACATTATTATTCTCTCTAACACAAACGCAGCCACTTCCTGAAAAGTTTCAGAAAAACTGGAAAATGTAATAAATTCACAGTTTCAGAAAGCAGAGGTAGCTTCTGTAAATACACCTAATGAGAAAGCTCAGTGCCCCTCCAGGTCATAATTTCTCTCTTCGAGGGCTCACCTTCCTGCGCTCGGGAGGCTAACGTTTGTAAACCAACAACATGTGGCGATACACTGATTTAAGTGGCATTAAAAGCTTTTTAGTAAAAGCTCCTACTTTTAATAAAAGCTTTTTTAGGATTTCCTTCTT